CATGCAGCCTATTGATGGCAATACAGATGGCAACAAGGCAACAGGCCTGTGTATACAACCTCCCCTACCCCTACCGATGAGTGATGTCTTTTTTTCATTATGCAAATCCAAAAGAGGGAAATGTTCCAAATGTCAGACCAGGAAGCAGGCCCAATGTGGTGCTGTATACTTGAGAAATGAATTGTCAAATGGTGTTAACTGTTGCCAAACTTCTCTATGATATTTGGAAAGGACAAAGAATGGGATGTGGTGACGGAACCTCTTTATGACAAGGTTAAACATTACAATCGATTTGTCTATAATAAATTGAAGAAGTCACTCGTATAATACATACATAAGTTTGAATCATAGATCTCGTATTTCTTTTTTAAATTGTGCCTGTGTATCATGAATGCAGCCCAACATGTTGATTTATATTTCATTTGACCTAGCTTTTTGTATTCCACGCACCAATGGTGTTTAGTCCAACAACTGATATGAAAGAAAATCCTTTTTTTTCTTTTTGAATAAAATGAATAGTTCTTTAAACTTGGAGTGGAAGCTCCAGAATACAACTAATTGAAGTAAAGTAGCACCAAAAGGCTGTGACATTACATCAATCTTGTGGAAATGAGGCAAGCCCCATTGGCTCTAAGTAGAAAAATGGTCAAGTTGGAGATAGAGATTGAGTAGTATCTTTCCGTGTGTCATACATGCTTGATAAATGTTCTGAACCCAGGACGTCTTACAGCACTGTTGGGGGGAGGCTCTGCAAGTTAAGACAAGTGTTTCTTGGAAAAATGAATCAGTAAATTTTGATGAAGTTTAAAGACTAAAATTGAATTGATGTAAAAATTGCTGAAAACCCCTGACGTTTGGTAGTTTCTCATGGTATAGAATTGAAATAAGTATTTGAATAAAATTTTCAGTAAGTTATAAGTTGTACAACTGAGGCTTGTACGTGTGAATTTATACGTCCAAAATGTTTCCAGCATTTTTCAAGATCTGTTTCAGGAAATGTTTTGCTTAAAATTTGTTGCATTTTGAGCCAAAAAAGAAACATCAGACGTTATTTAACCCTAACCATTCTAAATCCAACAAGCACAGGCATGATTTGAATGGTCCTTTGGGAGTTAGCGTCAAACAAGATTTTCCTTAAAAATGTGACAGCGGTAACCAAAAACCTGTACCATTTTACCAAACCAAAGCTCTGTGTATGTTGCAGATTTATATTTTTAGGCCAGCGTTTCCAAGCACAAAAAAGACTATTGCGCCCATAAGGACAATTTGCGCCGGTTCCAAGATCCAGAATGAGGTGACTACCAGAATAATCCATTCTATTTGAATGTGCCTGCCAACAAACTCAAGAAGCACCGACAGAGGCATTGTAGATCTTTGTGCACTGTGGGGGCCAGACCACCTATCTGAAACATCGTGCAATACCCTTGTGACAAAGTATCAAGCCGCTGGTTTACACATATCTGATTTGTGTTCGTTGAAATCCCGGGAGCGCGATCATTCTGGTATAGTGACCTGGGTACGAGCCGCGAGGGCGCTATTTTAATTTCATTGCCCAGTCTCAAAGATAAATATATGGAACGAACATTGATCTTTCGGGGACCCAAAGAGCGGTGGTGGTGGTAGGGATACTGCCTCCTGGTCAGAGGGTCCCAGGTTCGAGTCCGGCCGGGGACAGAGACCACCGAAGCGGGGAAACCTGCGATAGGTCCGAGTTCCGTATCGCTCGTCTAGGGAACAAGATAAAATAAAATAAAATAAAATGGATATTTTACACTTTTTTACTCTGGCAAGCTCTAAGTAAAAGAAATAAAAATCCCTCATGTACCCGAGGCGGGATTCGAACCCAGGACCTTCGGTCCGAGCGTTCCAAGCGCTAGAGTGCCTACCATTAGGCCAACACGCTCTTCTTACTTGTTAACATCGGAAGTAATATATAAAGATTCGAGTCAGATTGCGCAATCAAAAAAAAAATAAGATGACGCGCATGCGCACTTCTTGTATCTACTTCGCGCATGCGCTCTTCTTGTATCTACTTTCGGCCAGTTTTAAAGTCAGCGCGCATGCGCTCTTCTACAAAAATACGTCGACGCGCTTGCGCTTTTTGATGAGACTGCAGGTTTTAAGGATTCGCTCGTCGCCCGGTGCCCGAATTACAGGACCTGGCTTTGCAACGTGATTAGCCTCTTTGTGCACGACCTCCAACCGCGAGGTTATCACTTCCTGGTAGCGATCGAAGCATTATTTAAG